GAGCGTGTATGTGCGCAGGTCTCCTTTGGCACCGTCACGTAGGCAACCGCGCAAGTCGGATGTGTGGGAGCAGTGAGTATGTCCTCCGTGTGAGCCTCAGGGGCCTACGGAGGAGTCGGCGAGGTTCTGTGTAAGTCTGTGGGGAGAGTTTCCACTCGCGAATTACAACGCGCGCTTCTGCAGGAGGTGCGTATGGAATCCAAATTGCCATCCCCAGAACACCGCCAACTACTGGCTTGCCAAACTTAACTTTTGCAGTTTTTTCATTAATATATAAAAATGTAAAACCAAATCAGTGAATTGCTTCACTATTCTGGCAAATCGCCCGATGATGCTGGATGTAATTACCAAATTGTAAACGTTGTGGATTTACTCTCCAACACACCGGTGGGCTGTAGTCTTAACTAATCGGCGCGTTGTTCACGTGACAAACCTTACTGGCTGTGTCGGGTGGTGGAGGGTCACGACACATTTATACTTACGCGATCCAACCAAAAACCCTTGTATCGTGAAAATGCAGCGGGGTTGCGAATCAAATGCCAAGACGCTCAATCCCCCGACGACTGCCGCATCGGGGACTCCCATCCGCCACCGGCTGCAGCCGTCGGCCCCGATGCGCAGCGGCTCGATAAGTCTCCGTCTCGCCAACAACAACAACAAACAATAACAACAAACAACACGTGGTAGGGCTTTCGCGACCAATATCATCCATAACACACGTTTTTTTGGGTTAGATCGCTGTGAATATATAAATGTGTCGTTAAAACCCGCCACCACCCTGATGAAGCTGGTTGTAATTACTGGCGAAACGTCGTACTCAGATTGTAAATGCTGTGGCTTGGCTCTCCAACACACCCGTGGTGCTGTACTAATGACGAATTGGCCACGTTCTGTTTACGTGACAACCCTTACTAGTTGGCTGTGTCGGGTGGTGGAGGGTTTTAACGACACATTTATATGTTTACGCGATCATAACCCAAAACAACCTCTATCATGAGCAACAAATAAATTGCCGCGACGTTCCTCGGGGAACAATTTGGTGTTGGTTTTTTTTGTTCGTGCGCCCAATTCAAACGAAATTAAAACGCTTTTCTTTTTCCCCAATCCACGACCACGGGGCCGTGCGCCGCACTTCATTCCGCTCGTCGCTCTCATCATTCTCAATCTTCCCCCCTTTTCGTTCCCGCATCCGCTCCCGCAATACCGATCCATCTCCCCCTAATGTGCCCATTCGCTAACAATAAAAAAACAACCTCGGTTCTTTCAGTCAAAACGCTCGGCACGAGTACTTTCGCGAGCGGTATCGGGCTGACGGTTCTTTGCAGAGCCCTCGCAATCACCTGTTACGCGGTTATCATGAATTACTTTCTGTCAACCTCCAGTGCATCCCTCCCTTTGTGTACACATTCTAGCATTGGGCGAATCACTTCTTCCCCCTTCAAACAGCCGTCGATCCTCTCTTGCTGGCATTCCATCCACACCGTCTCTACCATCTCGGTGGCAAGATGTTAACTGCCTCGCCTGGTATACAGGAGTTCGTGGCATCGTTGCCGACCCTGACGCCTGCTGTATATTTTATTGAGTCGTCGTGTGTCTCTCTCTCTCTCCCCCCGTGGTCGCGTGGATTTTTCTCCACGTCCTCCAGTTACCCCCCCCCCCCCCGCCACATTTAGAAACGTGCGTTTCAGAGTATTTGGCTGCGATAAATGTTCACGTGACAAGCCGCTTCGTTGAGCTGTCATTTGTGGCCAGGTCGCTTCTGAAAAAAGAGCGAGAGCTCAGTGGGCATTACCTGCTAAAATAAAACAGTCGTTTTCTTAATCTTCCGATTTCTCTTACCACCTCACTCGAGCATGCTAGGTCCAAAATTATAATCCCCAACTTCTCTTCCCCATCTCGAGTTCCTTTATTTAAACTCATGCAGCTCCATAATCTCTTTCTCTCTCTCTGCATATTCTCTTTATATCGTTGAATTATATTCACTATGTAACACGATTTTTGTTCCTGGGTAGTAAGTGTTATTTTATAATTGCTTATGCCTCAAAAGTACAGAAAATGGCTATTATTGCTGGCAAACTTTGCTTTTGTGACCAGGACTTTATGTGAAAGAATGACACAAATGTACACCGCGTTTTCTCATTGAAAATAGGTACATTTAAAAATATCACTGTTCTAGTCACAAAAGCAAAGTTTGTGGGGAATAATAGCCATTTTCTGTACTTTTGAGGCATAAGCAATTAGGAAATAACACTTACTACCCAGAACAAAAAAAATGTTGTTATACAGTAATTATGCCAGAAGTTCCACATCTACTGACTTACGTGCTAACTTAAGGATAAACTATTTTTATTTGATACTCTTTGGTTCTTTCGGTAAAGTCACGGAGGTAGAAAAATTATATAAAACAAAAAATAACATATCACGACGTTTCGATCGCATCACAAGCGGTCGTCCTCAGGCAGAAAAAAATCATCCAGCGGTGGAACTGCTGAACCAACCGTGACTCAACCGCAAGAACCAGAGTATGGATTCCTGCAGTCACGAAAGCTTCAAATCAAGATAATTTTTATTTTACCAGGTAAGGCCCCCACTGCACTCTTGATCTCGTTTAGACGAGCGGCATGGCCACAAACCACAGCTCAACAAAGTGGCTTATCACGTGGACATTTATAGCTGCCTATTTATCCAGAGAACCACGCTGAAGTTGGGACTCTTTTTATCAGGAGGGTCCAGACAGAATTGGCTGTTTGATTTGAAGATGTTCTCAGCCAATGAACGAGTTGTTTATACCACGTAAAAAGGAACCGAGAGCACCCAGAGAAAGGCCACGTGCGGAAGGGGGCACATTTTCGCAAAAAACACAATGCCCTTTAATTACTAAGGAATGCATGACTCCCAAAACTCAAGTTTTCAGGGTATTAGGCACATTTTTATTTTATAATGTAACGTGTGCGCCGTGCGAGGTGAAATATTAAGTTGCTTGGAGATGACCCAGGAAACCACGAGGAGCCATCAAAGGTTGGCACGGAAAAATTCACAAATCTCTCGCTGTTACCGCCACCTCGGAGGCCAAGTATAGAGCTGGATCAGAGAAGGCGTCACAACATTGGACTCGTGCCCGGCCGCTCGCTGACCGCGGGGCTCGACACACACACAGCACACTCCTAGGTCCCCCCCCCCATACACGATGAGGCACCTCTTAACCGGATACATTATTGATCTTTTTTTTAAGTGAACGTGCCCATGATAATTGGGATGTCCACACAGATGGGGATATCGGAGAAACCGCTTTGATAGACGTGTCGGAACTGCGTACACCTCCCCGCATGAGCGAAGATGCCTCGATGGGAGTCGGATCCACAGATAGATCCTGGCCGGACTGGTGTTTGGTTGGTTCCGGTGTGACTTGGTGCTCGTGTTGTTGATGCAGCCGTGATTATATTTGCTCGTGTGCGGCGATGGCAGATGGTGCGATTTATGCTTTCACTTTTTATGGCACCGTCGTTCAAGCAAATTGCCTCTCACGGTCGACGAGGCAACGAGTCGGAAAGCAGCAGCCAGCAGACAAAGTAGGCGCCAACAAAGATCTGCAGTCCTTCATGTATTCGCGATGTTTTCAGCCAATGAATGTTTGTACGTCTGGCAAGAAACCGGAGCACCCGGAAAAAAACTCACAAGTGCAAGGGAACATACTATCCCACGCAAAAAGGGGCAGGCGAGTCCACACACACACACACTGCTGTACCCGGGGTCTTCCGTCAAGCCAGCGTATGGGAATCTCGATGCCCACGGGGATTTCACATTTTGTGCAATCCATCAACCCTCGCCTCCAGTGCTGGATTTCCAGGCGTGGGTGGCCACCGCTGATCGTTGCTGGTGCGACTGATTGGGCGGTTCTGCTGATTGGTGCGAACGTGACTACGATTGTATTTATGTATATAGAACTTCTTTCGCGACGTGCAAATCGGGAGGTGCGTGGAGGGGGGGGGGGCAACTACACACAAAAATCAGTTCTAAAGAAATGAGTTTTCGATTTAGACTAGTGTTGATGCGACTGGTGCTAGTTTGACGATGGTTGGTTGTCCAGGCGTGATAGATGTTCACTTGCAACCGTTAACCCTTTCTCGTTCCGAGACACCTGCAAATTGCAGGGTGTGGAGGTCCCGCTCACCTGGGAATGTCGGAGCGTGCGAGCGCCTCGGCGATAAAAATCCTAGAGTCAGAGTAGCACCGTTGTTTTTAAAAACATTGTACTCACCGCAGAAAACTGTAGCGACACGACCACACTTTGATAGCTGGCGCCAAACTGTGCCACACGCCCTCCCGCATGGCCTTGTGGGAGTCTCGATACCAACAGTTATTTTATATTTTATTCCAGATTCCTTTTGATGAAATACAAGTATGTACATGTATGTACAAGTGTACATCATCGGAAAAGAAAAAGATTAAAGATGCAAACAAACCAGCTTATCTTGAATACCTCTACTTGGGCTGTTTCCTGGGCGTTCGCAAGAGTTTGTGGTAAATTAATGAGGAAAATACTTTAGGGGCCAGTGTTACTACACAATTGTGAATGTCACTGCTGTGATGTACCCGTGTTGCTGGACTGGCCAACACGGAAGTGTTCTTCAGAAACTGAATTGAGCAGCGCAATTTCTCGCATGTACAGACTTCCCCCTCCCAGCGGGTTGGGGGGGGGGGGGGCGAAACGTCGGACAACCGTGCCGAACAACATGCGGCGTGGCACAATCCACGCAAAAAAACGTGCACTAGTCGCAAGACGAGTGTTAAGTTGGCTTTTTTTGGAGGGTTTGCAGACAATTAGGAGAAAAGGCCACAATCTTCTTCGCAACGACAGGGCGCAGTGCGTCAGGTGAGTTGGCGGGGATGACCTTGAAACGAGGGGTGAAAAGAATAAAAGCAAAATGCAACTCTGCATTTATGCCCACCCGATGTAATTTGCCCGACGACGCGATTTCACTACGCTCGGCAGCATGGGGTTGTGAGAAAATGAGATTTATTTAGAATTTTTAACCACTACTGGCATTTCAATGGAGAAGTGTCACAATTTCAACATTTTACTAAGTAGCATTTTCAAACAAGAAACAAAACTTATTTCACTTTTCAACCCACGTAACGGTATTTGTTAAAAAAAACCTCTGGAGCTATTTCAAGTTCCTTTTTCAAAACAGTGAAGGTGAAAAAACATTGCTGGAATCTTATCCGGTACACTCCGAAAAAGCCACTGACAAAAAAACCCACACCAAGCCAACGGTTGATTATTTCTCTCTCTTGCAATTCACCATTAAAATTCCAAAGGCGAAGGTCCAGCAAGACACTCGCACAGAGGCTCCTTCAGAGCAGTAACTCTATCAGATGGGAGCAATACATTTGCCAGCTAATATTCACAAGCGCAACGGACCGATTGATTCGTGAAACGTTATCAGCGCCTTAAACAAGCGAGGCTTCAACTCCGTCCCCCCGCCCCCCTCCCCATCCTTTCAAGTAACACGAGATTAAGAAAGAAAAGATTCACTTTGGGGAGAAGACCTGTCCGTTTTCGTCAACGCTAATAAAGAAAAACATTATACGGCTCGTCATCATTGTTCAGCCGAGCTGCAACCCCCCCCCCCCCCCCCAGGAAAAACACCGTTTCGACTCGCGCGCACACGTTTACACACGCCGGCCAAATCCCACACCGAAGCCCTTGCGTAATTCCCACCACCGATGCCGCTGGGTATCGTTGAGCGCACGCCGGTGCGGGCGGTCGCAGTCCGGAGCGTGGGCTCGCGGACCGGCGGAGTTCGGCGAGGATCATCCGGCGGTGGGGAACGACGCAGGCCGTCGCGGTGAGCTCACTGGCGCAGGCGGTCGCGGTGAGCTCACCGGCGCGGCCCCCCGCGGCCCCTTCCCCTGCCGCCCCGACCTCGGCCTCGACCCCGACCCCGGCCGCGGCCGACGGCTGCACACGCGAAAACACACGCACGCGCAGGCAGGCAGATCGGCAAACGAAATTGGTTAGAAACAGGTTGAGAGGCGCACGCAAACTTGTGCACACAAGGACACATTAGAGCAAATGCATGGCCGCACATGTGCACACATACACAAAGACAAATATCCTCTATATAGCCTGTAACAGACTGTTGGGGCAAATGCTGTTAGCTCGCACCTATGAAGGCCGACATGGCACACGAGGGGGTGGGTGGCCAGCACCACACCTGGCTGCCTTTGTCTCCCTAGTGGCGATGTTTTTACACGTCGCACTAGGTACTAATTTGAGGCCGAGTCGACCTAGGGGAGGCCCAGGACAAGTTCAGATAATCGTTACTCATGTTGGCCGTGAGCGCGAATCGAACCCGGGTTACCGGGTTCGTAGCGCAGCGCGCCAACCACTACACTCCCACTCCCTACATACACACACACACACGCATACACACACACACACGCATAAACAAGGACACATGTACACACAACCGTAGAGATAAGCAAACATATGGCACACATACACAAATAGGGACACACAAACGTGTGTGCAAATAGATACAACCACAAAGACACGAAATAAACAGCAGATTAAAATAGCCGCGTGCACGCGGAACCCAAACCAACATACGGGCGCGAGGGTGCGCGCAACAAAGACAAAAATCACCGGCAAGCACACACACACAGACAACCGCATGACACATGATACACACCCACACGACAACACGCAGCGGTTAAAGGAGGCAGGGCAGCAAGACGTGCACAGGCAGGAAGGGCAAGAGAGCGCCAGGTCTGCCCATTGATTGAAGCGCACGTGCCACGTTTGCCAAGCCCTGCTATTCCCTAGGCTTCACCGCTAAATTCTCGCCTGCCGAGTCTTTAAGGTCATCTTTAAGAGTTCCCAGTGGGGGATGCTCTCTAGTTTGTGCCCAAGCCCCCCACCCCCCCACCGAAACGCGCCAGCCCTGCACAAGCTGCGTGGTCTGAAGTGGCAAGCGGTCATTTACATTGCGGTAATCTGCAGACGGGAGCAGTAGAATCGGCAAGTGAGTGCGCCAGGGGCCGGGTGGAAGTCGTTGCGTCGCAGGATCGCGAGAGATGGCATCCGCCGGAGGCCATGAGTTGGTACCGATGAGTAGGAGAGCCTCCGAGATCGTGCCAGTGGGCATGTGTCCGTGCACTGGTGCCCGCACGTTAACGCCCAATGCTAGTACCCATACATCAATACCTCCTGTTCACGACCTTGGTGAGAGGCAGTATACGAGTGCCCGTATGCGGCTTCCTGTCCGCTGGCAGCAGTCCACGATGCCTCCCTCCATCCCTCTGACCCTGCGGACTGCTCACCGACTGCCCTTGCTGCAAACCGAGGCTCAAGACCCTCCTCTCATACTGTCTGTCTCTACGACTGTCTCTGCTATTCAATAAAAAAAAACCTACACAGTACGGATACACTACATACTGTTAATTAAATCAAACATATTTTTGGTATATACCTGCCCTTGTTGTCCTCCCACCCCCACCACCACCCCACTGCTGTGGTCCACTCCTCTCACTACCGCCGTGTTTACCATTCCCATCAACTGTAGTCATCGATTCCTCTCCACCCATGGTGAAGACTCGGGATCTACCGCTCTCAAGACTGCAGATGACAACAATACCCTCACCAGAGTCACTTTCTTTCTGCTCCTTCCCTCTCACACTGCACCAATCTGGAATTCCCTCCTCTCATATCCCCCCCCCCAAAGCTCTGATAACAACCTCGTTCAATGCAAGGAACACGTTACAATCCTCTGTCGATTGCAACGTCAATGGTAACGCCGTTTTTTGCTGACAGCTTAAGGTTTTTTGGGCCCGTGCTTTTTAACCGTTTTCAAAAAACATAAAGAGACTGAAGCACCGTATTCCCTCGTCGTCAATCGCGGGGACTTGCCATCCGTGATGTTGGCTATCCGCGAATCGCATCTGTAACTCTATACCACGACTACTGCATCAAGAGAAAGTGATGCGTGAAAGTGATGCATGAAAGTGTTACGTGAAAGTGATGAGATAAAGTGATGAGATAAAGAGGAGTTAATTTACATGTATTTAAGAGCTATTCGTAGGCCCATATCATTAGCCGTGAAATATGATATTCTCCGGAACGTGACCCTCGCGAATAACGGGAAAATACTGTATTTTCATTTTACCAGGTAAGGCCCACCGAGCTAAATAGCAATTATTTTTACGTGGAACTTTATAGCAGCATAAACTCTCTAAACGCATGTTGATTATAAATGTGGAGGGAAAAACGGGAAGACTCGGACATAAATCCACGCGATCACGCGGAGAGGGAGAGACGTAAACACGTCCCGTCCCGCCGTTTCCGCACCGCGTCGTGAGCCATGGTTGCTTCGAGGCAAGATGTTAACTACCTCGCCTGGTATACGGGAGATCATGGGTTCGATCCCAACCCTGACACCTGTTGTATGTGCATGTGCTCCCTGTGGTTGCGTGGATTTTTTTTCCGGGTACCTCCGGTTTTTCCCTCCACATTTGGAAGCAATATGCCTTTCGAGTAGGTATGTACATATGTATGTAGAACTTCTTTCGCACTGTACGTAGCCACCAACCATGCTAATCAGAAGTGCAGGGGAAGGACAACAAACTATGGGTCTCTGCTAGAGTTTATGGATCTCTGTGTGAGTCCATGGGTCTCAGTGCGAGTCCATGGGTCTCTGTGCGAGTCTATGATGTACGTGTGTACAGTGAACTTCTTTGGCGCCATACGTAGCCGCCAACCGTGCTAACCGCGAGGCAAGTCGCCGTGCAAGTCGTACCAGCTTCCCTCTTGCGCGCCTTCGCCTTGGGGCCGTCGTCGACGAGCAGCGTGTCGAGCGGCAGGCTGTCGGGCAAGATGTAGTAGCGGATGTTGTTGCCGCGGATGCTCAGCGAGTCCAGGGTCACCGGCTCGCGGTTCTTCACCGTCAGCTTGACGGCCTTCAGGTGCGTGTTCATGCTGATGTCCACGCCTGCAACCGCACGCACAAAGACAAAGATTCCCCCATGTAGCCTTAACAAAATGCAACTATGAAGGCCGGCATGGCACACGAGGGGGTAGGTGGTCAGCACCACCCCCGGCCGCCTTCGTCTCCCAGTTGCAATATTTACACACGGCACTGGGCACTTGAGACCGAGTCGACCTAGGGGAGGCCCAGGACCGGTTCAGATGCTGTCCGTCAGCGGGTATTGAGCTCGGGTCCCCAGGTTTGTAGCGCAGCACGCAAGCCCCAACACGACTGCTACACTACTGCTCCCCACGGGCGCATGCACACACACGTACACACGTGCACACGGGGACGGAGTTGAGGCTGTGTTTCTCAAACGGCAAGTCCTCATGAAACGTGGCTTAATTTCAGCCAGATCTGTCTGGGTCGGCGATGCAGACCATATTTTCGCACCCGGTATACGGCATCCAGTACATCTTCTCTCGCTGTGGCTTTGACTACTAGTTGCGTGCCACCTACTCCAGTCCATCAGCGACCCAAACATTTTTTTCCCGCACCTGGCACACCAGGGCCAGTATTAACCTCCTCTCGCTATAGCCGAGGCTAATAATGACCCGTCTACCCCAGTCTATGGGTTACTGGGACAGCAATCGGCGAGGAATTAACGCCTGACCGTGCGTGACACAGCACGGCATGATTTTCCATCTTTGTTCATTTTGTCGTACAAACACAAATGAAGTTATGCCACTGCACGCGCTCGATGATTGCTCAACATCTCACAGGACCGATCAAAATTAAGATGCCGTGTGTGTGTAAACGTACGCGTCCCATGCACTGCAAGAGCAATCTTAATTTGAATTGTGAAAAAGGGTCATTGCCCAAAATATCACCTCTTATTATTTTAAGGCCACAAAGTGTTATCAACAAATGTGCTCGAGTTTTTGTTTTATACCTGTGCTTGTTGCAATACTGCCAATACAACGGTATTACCGAATGTTTCAATTCAATTTGCGCTCTGTACAGGTGTACGTACATGCCACACGTTTAGCAAACATCGGGCGTGTGCAGCAGTCGATTGTTGTGCGATGCGTGTAAAACTGCGAGCTTAAGGAGACAAATAAAAAAAATCCATGCGTCGCTCCACCCCTAAATCTGTAGTCCATGCTCCGGCTACAGACAGGCGTGAAAATCAATGCTACTTAACTGCAATGCAGCCCATCTTGCACATCTTGCAATTCTCACAATGTAGCCAACGAACATGAGACAGGATACTGTCACTCTTACAGCAATTCACAAACACCCGTGGCATCCCAACCTTCCCAGTCACGATGAAGTATGCCAATCCCTGTTACCTCCCCAATCTCTTAGATTCTCCGCCTTCGAAATAAAATAATGTTAAAAGCCGCCTCTTCCCCACGACCTCATTATGCGTCCTCCTTAGTGTACAACATTTTGAGATGCGGTCATATTCTGGGATGCTGCAGTGGTGAGATGTTAACTACCTCGCCTGGTATGCAGGTCTTGGGTTCGATCCCAAACAGGACGCGTGGTATAATCGGAGTTTGCATGTCCTCCCTGTGATCGGTGGATTTTTCCCCCGGTCCTCCAGTTTTTCCCCTCCAAATTGAGAAACTTGCGTTGAGAGTATTTTCCTGCTATAAATTTCCACATAAGCCACTTTGTTGAGCCGTCATTTGTGGCCAGGTCACCCCTGAAAGAGCTATAAAGCTTAGTGGGCCTTATCTGGTAGTATAGTTTGTTTAGCGATGCTTCACAAATCCTGAATGTCGTGTATGATTAACTGTGAACACTCGCGTTTAGCTAAGTGGTCATATGCCACTGCGAGACGGTCAAAACATGCAAACTATTCCCACAGCCCTTTCTCAAGCGGTTGGGGCCCAGGAAAAAGTTCAGATATCATTCGCCAATGACGTTAGGCATGACTGTGAAACGAACCCAAGCTGCCTGGCTCATAGCGCAGTGCGCGAGGTACCGCGCCACCGCTCCATTCAAAACGTGCGCCTGTTCGTAATTGGGAGGGGGGGAACTGGAGGGGTGGTGCGTCGAATATTTCCGTGTGCCAACGCCGCTCTCGCAAAAGGTTAACGCTGCTTCACCGCCAGCCACGTGTGCGCACGCACGCCTCTCTCAGTTCATTGTTTATGGAGTTGCCCGGGGAGAGCGACATCTTTTCTCTACGGTTCAATAGCTCAGAGTTAAAAAGCCTGTAAGAACACATGGCTGCTGGCCACGTGGCCTCCGCACGGTGCGACAAGCTCTGCAGAGCCAGGAGGCAATTAAAATAAGGAGCGTGTCACTTATCCGCCGCCTCATTGCGCAATTGCGATTTTTTTTCAGGGGGCGCGGGGGCCGTAAAAGATTTCAATCATTGCGGGGCGTTTATGAACGCTCGCACGTAATTAATGCACATTTAAGCCTCTCCGTCACTTTTACTCGGCAATTAACGAGTCACATTCCCATTCGCAGCGAGTGCCGTGTACGCAGGCGGGCGGCAAGTGTGAGTGGGGGCGGGGGGGCGCAGGGGGGGGGGGGGGGGGGAATAAATGGGGGAGATGCTTAAAAAAAACTGTGCTGTGTCGTGAGTTCCATTTTGCCTGGTTGGGGACGCCTTTGTTGGGCTCTCGAGCGTTTGGCATTTCTGCTGAATCCAAAGAATCTGATGAACAGCAATTCCCAGACGCGGCTCATAAAAGCCGGCGAAAGATGCACAGCGGGTCCAAAAGACAGCTTCAAGGCCCATCAGCAGAAAACAGCTGATCACACACGAAACAGCCTCATTCGCACCACAGATAGAAACCGGCTGAAAATCCTTGATTGAATTTTTTCTGAAGACGCGAGGAAAATTCTCGCAAATCTCCCCCCCCCCCGCCCACAAAGGAGGACGTGGCAAGCGCAGTGGCAGCGGCGACGACGGAAAAGGACAGGAATTCGCCGTGGCCTTTCACGCGAGAGGGCGGAGAGATGTCCCACATTACAACAGACGTGCCGACTGATGATTAATGTGGTTCCGCCGCTTCAAAGAAGCAAGCGGTATTGAAAACCTCTTTCCAGACACGGCTGTGTGAAAACAAAAGGCCAACTTAATCCGCCAGGTGTCACGGCCAAGGTTGTTATTTCACAGCCGGTGCAGGGCTAAGCCTGCGGCCGATGGCGCTCGCCTGTTATCGCGAGGCGCCGACTGCAGGGCCCCTTGCCTGTCGCTGCTTGCGCAGGGAGGTGGGGGTGGGCGTGCGTCACGGCGCGCGGGCGTAGCAAATGTCGCGCGGACGTTAGCTTACGGTGGTGTGCATGGCGGGGAAAGGAATTAATGCGCAGATTTACAAAATAACTGGTGCTTGCTTCTTTTTTACCATCTCCCTGCAGCACGTTCTCGGTTCAGCGCGTTTAATATTTCATTTCGTCTTCTTTGCCCCAATTATATTTCAATTGTGCCACCATTGTCAGGTCATTAGTCTAAGAAATTTCCATTTGGAACACTCGCCGACTGCAGTGTAGCATCAACGAAGGGTGACCTACTTCTGAAATCCCTTCAATCGGTCTCTTATCCTGTAGGTTTCTTATCCGTACAAGGTGGTGCATGTTTTATCCGAGGACCAACCCCAAATGGTTGGTCCTCAGATCTTGTGTAGATCCAGAATAAGGTCAAAAGAAATAACAAATAAATGATAGTCATTGGTTACCGGGCTTGTCTCAAGTGAGAAGTTGGTTTAATCACACAACGTAAAATAATCATTAACACTGCCGTGGAGAATGTAAGAAACAAAATAATTAAGCAGATATTAGAGACCTCCTCATTTCACATATCTGTCCCTGCATATCATCATCGGCAGTTGAAAACTGGATTCGAACCCAGAACACGAGTAGTGTTTGACTCAGGTTGCCTGTCTGGCCATTATAGCCCTCAGCCGCCTCAAGGGAGCAGGCTTTCCTGGGGGTCATGTGTAATGGCACACAGTATGGGCACACGGGGCCAGAGAAAGTATATTGTTATTTAGAAACCGTGCACGTCTTTACTTTTTTGCAAGGTCGCCGGGAGAGTACTTTGGTTCGTCTCGTCTCACGATGCCCTATTAATAATTACACGAGCACCGCAACTTTAAAAATGTAGAAATGAAAATTTACAAGCGAAGGCAGCGGACAATAAATGATTCAAAATAACTTATTTTCAAGTGCCAAATTTCATAAAAGCAGCGAATAAAACACGCAAATTCACTCTTTCATTTACACGTGCACGGAATCCAATTACGTAAATAAAATGTCAGAGGTTCAAATAAAAAAAGTATCGACGTCTTAATACGCGGAGCACTCAACTACCCGAAAGCACCACTTCAGATGATATTAAATATTAGCACCATCCAAAGAATGTTGCACTCACTGTGTTTTTATATTCCAGTCACGCAATCGCAAATGGCTGTATGTTAGACCGTACACCGGCCACATATTTTGTTTACGCACAGCAGTTAATATCACGAGCCTCCATGACGATAAACAGTGCAGAGGTAAGAAAACTTGCCCGTGTGTAAATCCCAAAGTTTACAAGAGGACTTTCCCGCAGTCGGATATGGACAGTAAATGTCAAAACTGGCTGCCACTTTCATAAAAGTGCAAAATTCTGAAGCAATATTGAGATCCTTTATAACCGTGACTAAAGTGTGGCTGACCTTGGAAATGACTAGTGGACTACATCAAGATGCATCACTTTTTTTGTGAAAAATATAAGCGTAGCAGGGTGGGTGTGCTCCTGATCGCCAAATGTCCAGGGTTCCTGACTCAACATTCACAGAAGCAATGTCGCACCGATGCCAATACTATTCTGCAGAATCGTCCGTCACCTGTTTCTCAACAACATTGTGTCTCTATCTTATCCAACAGTCTGTGGCATCGCTCAAATGCACCCCCATGGCCTCTCACTTTCTGCCATCACTGCATTCCCCATATCACACAACCTTTCACTTCTGCACAACGAATTATCACTCCACGTCCAACACAGCTGCGCTGTGGTCTAAGCCATTCTTCCCCTTTCTTCCTCCTACTTTCTCACCCAACTTTTTTCAAGCAAACATATCTCCGTTTTTTCATGATATTAAACATGCCCTTTCCCAAGTCACTCATCTACCTCCAACTGTTAATGTAAATTGTCCACATTTCTTCAGGATGCATCATGATTTATTAAAACAAAATAAATCCAGTTTTTTTTCTCCAGTTTGTATTGTCTTGTTTGGCTAGTCCAAGGAAAACAATTGAATACATAAACTGCATTCATGGAAAATTATTAATTCTTACACATACACACAGTGGATGCATCGTGATAAGAATCTTAGTGAATTTAAATGCCCTAGCCAACACTTTTGGCATAAAGGGTCTAATTTTTTATATCGTATTAAATATTTAGCGTTCGTAACAACCGCTTTGTGCACCGAGTGGCTGAGCGGGAGAATAACCAAGTGCAGGCATTCAGTTTATCATGTAGTAGGCTTTTGCGACCAATATCATCCATAAGAAGTTTTTTTGGGTTGGATCGCGTAAATATAAATGTGTTGTTAAACCCGCCAATTAGTAAGGATTGTAAAGTTAACAGAACATGCCAATTCGTTACATGGACATCACACTGTTGTGTTGAAGAGTAAATCCACAACTGGTTTTCATTAATTGACATTCACCGGTTTCCTCTATCCAACAGCCTCTCTCTTATAATATAAATATGCTCAGCGTTTCTGTCAGGGCTGTGTGAATACATGGTGCGTTTGAATGCCATTTAGTCACGTGACAACCCATTATATATAAGATGTATGTTTAAAAAATGTACAGTTCCTTTGTCAATCCATTGCTGGATGAAGGCTTTACCACGCTGTTATTGGTCATGGGGCTTATTTGACAATATTTCACCATGCTAGTTGGTTAACCTGATAATAGATTTTTTTGCATGTGATTATCAATAACACTAAAATACCAAAATAAACAACTCTCATATTCTTGGTTCTTTCGGTAAAGTCACGTAGAAGGGAAATAATAAAGTAAATACAGCAAGAACATTTTCTTGCTGTGGTTTTCACACCTGATGATGATTGCTTGTGTTGCAATCGAAACGTCGTGAGAATTTTATTGTTTTATTTTTATTATTTCCCTTCTACGTGACTTTACCGAAAGAACCAAGAATATGAATCCCTGCAGTCACGAAAGCTTTAAATCGAAATTTAACAACTCTCGTTTCACTACTTTGTGGTTTTATAAAGCATTATTATTACTCGCCTGTGACCGTGCCATGCACCTGGGTACCGTTCTTCAGCTCAATGGTCACCGTCTCGTGGCTCAGCTTCATGAGGAACCTGCGGGTGACATTGCAAACCTCGTCAGACCCACACCACAGCGGCACATCACATCACGCCGACAGATCTTACCACTACCAGCCCTTCCCAACACGTGGCGAGATGTTATCCCCCTCGCCTGGATATACAAGTCGTGGGTTCCATCTCGACCCTGACGCTTGTATATTTGGAGTTTGCATGTTCTCTCTCTGCCTCCTCGTGGTTGCGTGGATCTTTCTCCACGTCCACAGGTTTTTTTCCTCCACATTTAGAACCATACAATTTCATAACATGGAGGCTTGCGACCAATATCATCCATAATAGTTTTTTTTGGGTTAGATGGTGTAACTATAAATGTGTCGTTAAACCGGAGGATTTCTCCACAAATCTGGCTTTCGCCTGATGAAGCTAGTTCTAATTACTGTCGAAATGTCGTACTCAGATTGTAAATGGCGTGGATTTGCTCTCCAACACACCGGTGTGCTGTACGAGTAACGAATTGGCACTTTTTGTTTACGTGACAAACCTTACTAATTGGCTGTGGCGGTAGTTACGCGATTTAACCCAAAAACCCAATATGATATACGATTTAAATATTTGGCTGCTATTCATTTCCACAAGCCACTTCATCAAGCTATCCTTTGTGGCTAGGTCCCTACTGAAAAACAGCTAATAAGCTCAGTGGGCTTTGCCGAGTAAAATAAAATAAATAGCGGTTATATATATCACCAAACCAGCACAATAGAGGCCATCCAATTAGTACGTACGTATGGAGGGGGGGTTAACCCAAATGCATACGCTTGCGTATGGGGGGTCTACTGACAATGTAGGTACGCATAGGAAACGAGGGGGGGTGTGAAGCCTCGATAATAATTTACCTACATTGGCCTTCAAATGAGCCACAGTTCAGTTTCTTCAGCTGTCAGACAAGACGGCGGCCCAGCAGACTGCAGCTAACGCTGCTGTGATTCAGCCTGACATCACCTAACTGTTCGACTGGATTCAGTCGACGTTTGGAACCTTGCGGACACTAGGAAACTTTTAAAACTTACGCAACTTAATTTTTAATGCAGCCGGCGGTGGGCAATGTTTGCTTAAACAAGTTAATATTATGCACCCTTGATCGTTTCTGCGTGAATTATCGGCCGTTCTATAGGATGTGGGGGGGGGGTGTCAGGCGTACGTACGCAGGTGGGGGGGGGTGTAAAAAGTACACGTGCGTACAGGGAGGGGGGGAGGGGTCAAGTTGACAGATTTTTGCGTACGTATTCTTGAGTCTTTCGGTAAAGTCACGTAGAAAGGTTTAATGAAAATAACAACAAATAAAAAAACTACGACGTTTCTATCGCAACACAAGCGGTCGTCTTCAGGAAAAGGGGGGTTAGCTTCCAAGGCAAATTGTTTATAAGGGTTTGAAATGGGTGTAGCCCAAATGTCAGCAGCCAATGACAATGTAAGTGGTGGGCAGCCAACCCGACGGTGGTTGGTTTTCCACCAATCAAAGGGCTGCCAGGTGAACAGAAGCATGTTTATGAGAGATTAGCATGTTAATGGGTGATCGCAGAGCCGTAACAAAGTGATCGGCGCGCGAAGTGGCTGTATGAGTGTGAACCCTTGCGTACGTACTAAATGGATGGCCCCATATAGCGTGCATGAGCAATATACCAGATCAGTATTCCACAACACGCCAGCATCTATGATGAGCACATAACAATATCCGAACAGCCACCAGTAAAATGTCACATATCACCAACAATCTAGCACACACATCAGTATGCCACACAACGCTACAGCACATCACATTCGCACACAATATCATGCCAACATAACCACAACGACATGTAACACCGCACCAATACACCATATACCAAAGTGTCACAGCAACACATGCAGTTAAGGTGGAATCGGGGGTAGGTAACGCACGGCTCGTCACGATTTCACTCGTTCTGCCTACAAATCAGTGAGAAGGAATACCACCTCGGGTTTTTTTCGCATCGCAATCGGATCACCCGTCAACAACAACTAACGTTAACCGCCGAGTGCGCAGCTTTTACAATTGTGCACGTGAAAGTTAATTTGCAATTGTATCGACCAACGTCCATGAACTTTTGAGGCATTCAGACAGGTGGGTGCGCACGGCTATTTGCCGGCCCTGAACATAAACAAACATTCACAACATCGAGCGAGTGCGTCAGGCCTCGGCACTGACCCCCATATCTAATTACAAGCACAGCGAACGCACGTGGCTTCTAGTAACAGTGGCCCACATTCAGTTCACTTACAACGAGCGGCCCTTAGTTCTAGCCCAGATACGATCATCAACGCACACGTTTGGAGGCGCTCATCCAGAAGTGGATTAATGATGAAAGGCCCGTACATTAGTTAACTTACAGCCAGGAGTCAACTATATACCAGGTCTTATTACAATGCATCGATGACACTGACCTATGTCCCGCCTGCAATTACAAATAGACGCGTGGTGAGGCCTTCAATCACCAGTGGACTGATCAAGGGCTATACGTGACTTGTTTTTTTAAACTCTCATTGATATTTCAACTCTCGTGCACCCAAAGAGTTAACTCGTGGCTCTTAGCAGAGTTAAGTTGACATCACGCTGGCAAAGTTCGCTAATCGCACACGTAGCTACACCACAGCTCGAACTAACGAGCCTCTCCACCGATGGCTCGTGGACTCTTAGCTCAGATATAAAATTGGACAAAGTGAAGCAGCAAACCTCCCGAGGAAGTTAAACGCAACCCCAGACTCGAGTTAAACACAGCGCTCGTAAAATAGTCAAATCCAGGGCCTAAGTCTTCCAGCGACGGCGCAACGCGACAGACGACTGCCTGATAAATTGACGTCGAGCACCCGTTATATGCACGGATTTTATAATAAAAAAGCACAACCTGCTGCTAATTGACGAGACGTCACTGTTCGCTCGTCAACGCGCGGTTGATAGTCAAAATCAAACCGCCGCGCGAATGAATGGAATCCTCCCCCGGTATCGATCTCCAAGACCGTCACTAAACCAGCATCCACTGCCAATTAACCTGCTAAGCACAACACTAATTAGCGACTTAGTTACCACTAGCAGCAGCGACATGAGCGACGCTGGGTAATTAACAATTGAACCCCCCCTCAGCGTAGAATCCCGCTCGTTTTGGCGACTCCAAACACCGGGGAAACAAAAGCGCGGGGCCGTGGCGCCTTCGAACAAAAACAAGCAAAAACCCCGCGAGGTCCACTTTCAACTCCGAATGGAAGGAGGCGAAGGGACGAGATGGGCCACGCGAGTTTGCTGGGCCATCGCGAAGACGATTCGAACCTCGCGAGCTTCATGATGCCGACGGATGGTGGCAGCGGGGCCCGAGGTGGCTGGAGCTTGGCGCTAGGATAGAGCGGGGCCCTGGCGGGAAGGGCCGGGGTGGGTGGAGGGAGTGGCGGATGTGACGTCAAGGGGGTCGGTGATGGCGGATTTGTACTTCCGGGACAGGATGGTTGCCATGGAGATTTTTAGTGGCAATAAAAAATATAAAAAACAACAAATGGGACCTTTTTAATGCCAGTGTCAAAGTATGACAAAAAATGGTTTTACCATTTCTTGGTAATAAAACAGGTGTTAAGATGTTCAAACGCCAAATAGTTGACGTTTGAACATTTATTAGAAAAAAATAACAGACATTAAGATGTTCAAACATTCAATATTTGGTGTTTGAACATCTATTTGTTTTATTGCCAAAAAGGGTCAAACTTATAATTTTGTCATAAAACTGGATAGGTTTTTGCAGTTCCTGTTTAACACGGTACTAGGCTTTCGCAACCAATACCATCCATAGTACAGGTTTTTTTGGGTTAGATCTCGTAAATATATGAATGTGTCGTTAAACCCGCCACCACCCGACACAGCCAACTAGTGAGGGTTGTCACGTAAACAGAACGTGGCCAATTCGTCACTTGTACAGCACACCGGTGTGTCGGAGAGCAAATCAACAACATTAACAATCTGAGAACGACGTTTCGCCAGTAATTACAACCGGCATCATCAGGCGGCAGCCAGAGTTCTGAATCTTTACGTGACGCAGCTCACGAATTGGCTGTGTCGGGTGGTGGCGGGTTTAACCACATTTATATTTACGCGATCTAACCAGAAAAATAACCTGTATTATGTAGTTACTTACTGTATTGAAATCGGAACGTAATGGTGTGGAAGTTGTAAACATTTGTGAAGAAGCAGTTGATCGATTAAATACATTTTTTTAAGTTTCAGTAAGAAGTTATGTAAACGTTAACTCGGGTCTAAATTCAAGATTTAGTGTAAAACAATATCCACGTTTTATGAAATAACGTGCCCATTTAACACTTCCTGCAATGTAAACATGTTTAGCAAAAATATATCCACATTTCGTATATAAAATATACAATACCTACAATCACCACCTCAATGGAAGCCTATATGGGGTTTTTTTTGTCAGCTAATGGATCAATTTGTAGTCTCTGTGTGAGTCTATTGTTCTATGTGTGAGTCTGGGTCACTGTGTGAGTCTGTGGGTCACTGTGAATCAATGAATGAAGATTGAATGAAGTAAAAAAATGTAATCCACAAGAGTGAAATTTGGATTTTGTGAGAATATCAATATTAATATTTAGCGAAATCTAAATTTCGTGAAAATACAGTATATACAGATTTATCGGAAAACTTTCAAACTTTGAGGGGGAAAACCCTCAGCAAAAAAATTATCCACGTTCTCACAAAATACATTTCTTTATGTTGACAAAACAAATGTAATAATATGAATAAAACTTCTCCATCGTAAAACAAAATTCGGAATTTTGTGAAAACCATTGCTATTTAAAAAAAAATGAACTCAACACATTCATCAATAATACTGTGGCCTTAATATAATAAAAATATATATAATAGACGACGTTTCGGGCAATGGCCCGTAATTATAGAGGTCAGAGAGACAGAGTGGATATTAGGAGTTGGAGACTGCCCATGTTTACACCAAAAGCCTTGATGAAAATTTAATTAAAAAAAAAATATTGACATGTGAATTTACATCATTATCAGATATTGACTGACAGACAAATCTTTCAATGATCACAAAGTATTTACTCATAAATAAACAAATGTATATTAGATGTGAAATCTTCAAATGTTTCTGACACATTGCCTTGTGGGAAGATTTGTTCTAATGAGAGCAAGGCACGAGCCACTTACCAATGCATCCCTGGGCCCAAATCACAGTTCCAGGAAGATACATCTGAGAAGTGAATGTTAAAAGTACACGGACTGCATACTAAGCTAAAATGAATAACCTGAAATTAGTTTTTACTTCTAACACACTAAAACAGGCAAGCGATGATAACTTCAATCAGCCAGACCCAGCGATCAACGTAGTTTTGCAACATTAACTTCAAGCTGAGTGCAAAAAACGTGAGAGAAAATCCCTCTGCTGAGAAGATTCACCTCTAAAACAAACAAACATCGAGATAATTCTTAACGCTCCATTACCCAGGTAATCATTTCACGCTGCATGCCTCTGTCTAGAACACCTGATGTGCCAACACGAGCCATCAACAAGTATTCTCCGTGATGCTGTGTCGGTTCATGGGGAGCGGTGGTGCAGCGGTTAGCGCGCTGCGCTACGAACCTGGCGAACCGAGTTCGATTCCCGCTCACGGCCAACACCAGAGTCGACTCAGCCTCAAATGAGTACCCGGTGTAGTGTGGAAACATCGCCACTAGAGAGACACAAGCGGTCGGACGTGGTGCTGGCCACCCACGACCCCCTCGTGTAGCGTTCCAGACTTCATAGGTGCTCGCAAACAGCAATTGCCCCCTACGGTTTGTTAAGGCCACACAGGGGATCCTCCGTCTTGTTGTTGTGTGGGTTTATATGCCAAGTCACTGCATGCCCAAGCAGCTTCTGTTTGGCCAGATAGAGGGGGGCTAAATGGGCTAAATGGGTTGATTGGGCGGCTGATTGTGCTGAGTGGCCGGTACCAGCGGTGTCAAGATGGGCCTCTGCGCAGGAGGCTCGTGAAGGACGCTGCTGCTGGGCAGTTGGAATCAGTCGCCCTCCAACAACTTCGGAGGGAAGAGGAACTACGCTCACAACAACGAGTGGAGTTGCTGGGCGGCTAAAACGCAGCAAGTTGCCACAGTGTGGAGCACAGCTGGTGCATCTGCCAACCCATGGCACCTGGGTCTGTCCTCTGAAAACTTGCCGACGATCCTTCCACACTTCACGGTAGCCTCAGGGTGCACCTAGCCTGGCACAAGCAATGCGGTGACGTCACCGCCACGCAGCGGTAAACGTCGATTTTTTTGTTGTTGTTGTGTGTAAAGTTTAGTGCCAATGGATGTCAAATTAACAACCAGTGGGACTTGAGGACGGGAAATGGGAGGCCAGTCATGAGTGTACGTGGAGCAAATACTCAACGCAATCGTCACTAACACTGCCTTAAAAAAAGAATGGTCCAATAATGATAATTAATCAAAGGGACGTTGAACCAACGTTGATCCAACGGTTTCCAACCATATGCCAACGTTGGCTCAATGCTGACATGTTTACTGGGAGGTGACGTTCCGGGCAATGGCCCTTCTTCAGAGCACATCGATGTAGCCTCATATGCAGGGTGCTTCAAAAAAATGAACACTTACATGGAGCTATCGTTTTAAAGGGGAAATAACGTATAATACACCGTAACATGATCACAAATATATGTTAATAACTTCAAAAAGTCAGAGTCTCCACTTGTTCACCATCATTGTCAACACATGCCAGGTGGTCTCCAGAACCTGGAGGCACATTTCTTGTGGAATTGTTGCAAATTCTCAGAAGTATTAACATTTTTTTGAAGCACTCCGTATATATATATATACATTTCCCCCCTTTAAGGCCACGGTGTTATTTACAAAACATGTGTTGATGTGTTTTGCTATTATGTGTGTTTGTGCACCAACTGCCAACGCAATCCCAGTCAATTTAGAATGTTGTTGGACCAAAGTTGGTCCAACCACGTGCCAACTTTGATCAACGTTGGTCCAACGTTGGTCTATAGTTGATCCAACGTTCGTCCAACGTTGGTCTATAGTTGATCCAACGTTCGTCCAACGTTGGTCCAACCACGTGCCAATGTTGGTTCAACCACGTGCCAGCGTTCAACCAACCACGTGCCAATGTTGGTTCAACCACGTTGAATCAACGTTGGTCCAACGTTGACCCAACCACGTGCCAACCTTGGTCCAACCGTTGGCATGCTTACTGATGTCTCACCATATAATTAACACTAAAAACGTGTCTGTTTAAAATGGCTTCCTCTCTTTACTTATTTTCAACCGTCTTTCTCACTTCTTCTCTACTTGATTGTTGTTAACTAATCTCCGTCTTTCCGTGCATAGCGCCCTGAAAACGATTGCTTAAGGGCGTTTTATGAATTTAAATCATAATTTTTTCACTGTTGCACGCCCTGACTGTCCAGCCCCCTTCGTCATGTAGGGGCAGGGCTCGGCAACCTGCGGCTCCGAAGCCGCGTGCGGCTCTCCAAGGACTGCTGCTTCGTGGTGTCGTTATTCGCATCGCATTGCGGCTCTTAAAATATTGATGGGGGTTTTTGGGTTTTGTTACAGAATTCGCAAACAAAAATGATCTCATCGTTTTTTTTGGTTGTCGACCCATTTATCTATGGCCACCGGAAGACTCCACCAAATAAATCTACTTATTAGTGATTCGCCCATTTAGTTAAACGACATTGTATTTATTTCTTAAATCTCTGACGACTCTTGCAGGATGGGACCCATAGTCATGAAGCTCCGGATAATGGAAGCGATAGGATCCGGGGGACTTTGACACCCGCACAACAACTGTAGCACCGTCATGGTCGTTTTGTGTTGTCTCTGCGCAAGCCAGCGTGTGTGTCATTATTGGGCGCCACGGTGGCGAGATGTTAACTACCTCACCTGGTATGCAGGAGGTCGTGCGTTCGACTCCGACTCCTGCTGTATATTTGGAGTTTGCGTGTGTCTCTCCCCGTGGTCGCGTGGATTTTTCTCCGGGTCCTCTGGTTTTCCCCTCCACATTTAGAATCAACATCACGCGTTCAGAGTATACGACTGCTATCAATGTCCACGTGATGATGATGATGATAAACCACTTCGTTGAGCTATCATTTGTGGCCAAGTCGCTTCCGAAAAAGAGCTACATAGCTCAGTGGGGCCTTACCTGGTAACGACATTTTTTTATATCGTTGTAATTTATTAATGTATTGTTTGGTGGGATTAAAACAGTGGCGGCTGGCCTGGCTGCTCGCCCTTGTCGCGAGTATAAAACACGCGTCCAATTGAGGCCAGGCGGGCGGGCGGGTGATGTTGGTGTTTTTATTGCGTTTCGTCAGTCGCGGCCTCGTTAATAGACGCAAGGGAGAGGAGGGAAGGGAGGGTGAAGTCCGCGCTTGATTCACGGCTTTAATCAGGGGGCGCGCGCTCTTCTGCGGGAGCGGCCACACTCCCCACCATGGACAGCGGCGAGGGGCAGGAAACCTCTCCAGCGAATCCCCGAATCCTAGCGGCCCTTCTCCTATGACGATCAACCCCCTCCCCCACCCACCCCCAAGAACGTATTTCAAAACAGATGAAAAACCGTCGTCATCGTCATCATCATCATGAGCAGCGGCTGCTGATGAAGATGCCGATTAATAATAATAATTAGCATCAAGCAATATGAGCAGATAAATGACGATGATCAATCAGCAGCTGTAGCTGATACCCATCAGCAGCAGCAGAAGTGGTCGCAGCAGCTAAATGATGATCATAGTCATCATCAGCAACAGAAGCAGCAGCTGAATTATCGGCAGAAGGAACAGCTGGATCACCATCATTATTATCATCAGCAGTCGAATAATAAGTATCATCAGTTTCAGCAGAATCATCATCATCATCGCAAAGCTTGCCTAATGGTCATTATAATCACCAAAGCTTAATCCTCATCAATAGTGTAATCACCAAAATCATAACAACATAATCATCATCAGCTTGCAGAAGCTGAATTATTATCATCAACATCATCACCATTGCCACGGCATGACCCTTCCTGTCTTTCAGTTTCACTGTCATTCAGAAGGGGATTTGAGATTGCCATATGGGTCGTATAACCGTGGGTACTTGCGGTGCTGTGTATAAGACCCTTAGCTATAATGCACAACGCGAACACCTGCCAAATGTACGAGCCATGCCCACCGAAACACAACAACAACAACATTTCGAGATGTGCCAGCCAGGTGGCTCAGGAGAACTCATCACGTGTCGAACAAACTGGAGCCATCTGAGAGCATTGGCATCGACCCCAGGCTCTCGCCGTCTGTGATTAATGATCATCACAGTGCAGCGAGCTGATGGTTCTCCGCCTTAATCGACAACGACTGCCCACAGGAGGAGGAGGGAAAAAACTCATCACGTAAATTTGTTTCTCTGTTCTTTTTTATTTGGAGAGCTACCAGCTGCGATGATTAAGCTAAATTTCGTGTCAACGCAAATGTGGCGAGCGTATCTATATAGCAAGATTAAATATGCAGGCGACAGTCTCCTTCTGCACATATAATCCGTCTCTCCACATCAAATAATTTAACGTATTTCTTACACAAAACCCACCAACCACACACACGCGCGCGCAGGGCCTTCTGGGAGCGCGTAACTTCAGCAGCATAGATTCAAGACAAGCAAAACTCTGGACCGGTTTCAACATTCAATGTATCACACAGTGAGTGTCTCCACAATGCCGCCAGTGACGACGCTGATTTGGGGGTCGCTCTAAACCAGCGTCCTTCATTGCAAGGCCCGCGGGCAACTGATGGCCTCTGGTGGGCTTCAGTGCGGCCCCCGACAAAACACAAATCGTGAAAACATCATCATCAATCTTGATTTGAAGCTTTCGTGACTGCAGGAATCCATACTCTTTAGTTCTTTCGGTAAAGTCACGTAGGTAGAAAATAAAATAAATCACGACGTTTCGTGCGCAACACAAGCGTCCGTCATCAGGTGGGAAAGCATGGTCTGCTGCTGTCCAACCCGTTGGGGTTTGGTTTCAAATGTGTGGCGGCCCTTACACACTCATTATGTCTTATCGGCCAAAGTGCCCCCTCCCCCCTCTGAAAATTAGTGAAGAACACTTCTCGAGAACGTTGCATCCAAATGGGACCTCCACAGCGTGACGAGAGAGGCACCTTGCCTGTAAGATCGGCAGCTCGCCGACATTGTGACGATGCGACTTCAAAAGAGCAATTATAATAACATAGATTTTTATATTTATTTATCTAAATATATATAAAAGGGACATTTGTGAATATGTGTTTTTGTTCGAAATGTTTAGCATACTTCCCAAGATGCAACAAACTTGAAAATTGGCATGTGGGTAGCTTGCAGACTGTACACAATGCAAAAAGTATAAAAATAGACCTTTGTATTTTGGGGGGTGGGGGGCACAATAATACATATATTTTGCACGGCAAGTGAGCGGTGACGTAACATCTGTGATGGTGACGTCACATCTGTGATGTCACCCGCATGCGGCCGCGTCACGCAGTGTGCCTGCTGACGTCACGCACCCCCCACCCTCCGCGTAGGCCGTGTGTTAATCCAAGACCAGAATCCAAGTGTCGGGCGAAGCCGGGTAGTAGAGCTAGTACAATATATAAATAGTCGTGTAACAGTGTACCCGCTGTTCAGCGGTCATGCACCTAGAGGCACAGGGGCACGGCGGTGTTCAGGAATTACAGAGTCTCCCCCCCCCCCCCTCGTCATGCACAGATAATTCCCACAGCAGATGCAGCAGCCAATGTGATTGGAGGCAGCATGGGGTGGTGGTTGCTGTTGTTGTTTTGGGTCCAAGAAAAGACCAAGGCAGCCCTTGCTCTCTCTCTCTCTCTTGCTCTCTCTCTCCTCGTCCTTGATGTGAAAACGTTAACCCCTTCCTTGCCGAGACAACGGCTCACAAACAAAAACAAGATTCCAATCGAAACAATTTGTAGCGCGCAGACAATTGGACGGGTATGCGGATCGTCGATTTACATCGGAAGGATTGCGAGAGACTGTGAACATTTGGCCAGGCCTCCATCCAGCAGTGGACTTCTGGATCGATCACCTGGCTGGTGATGATTGATCACGATGATTCGCCCCATTGAGCCCACGCGTATTTATTTCACAACAACAGAGACCCTGATATTAAAATACCGCATTTCTCCAGATTATGAGACGCTCTGAAAAATACGACGCACTCAAAACAAGTGTGTATGTGTAAGGTGCCAATAGGGTTCTACAAAACGTGATCTCCCTCTCTCTCACCCACACACCGATTTATAAGGCCGGTTGCTTTAAAAGACAAGAGGACAACAATTCCGGCTTGTAGTCGGAGCGCAGAAAAGCAGTAAACGCTTTTCATCTCGTGAACAAACTCGAGGTGGAACTCCCCCCCCCTCCCTCCCCCATTTGAAAATTTCACATCACAGACCACGGTCGTTACCTCCCGTCTCTTGACAATCTTCTCCACTGCAATTCAAATCGAGCCTTTAATCACACACACGCTGTGTGGAGGAGGAGGAGGGTGAGGATTGGTCAAAACGCAAGCGCACGCTGATTGGAGTTTGCGAACCCCTATTCTTCCAGAGCGCGGGCGTTCCTGCACTAAGACGATGGTGCGGCCAATATACTGTATAGGGCGCCACGGTGGCTAGGAGATGTTACTGGTAGGAACCTCCTGGTTCCACCAGTCCACAGGGGATTAATGTGTCCGTCCGTCCGTTGTGCATCCAAATATGGGAGGGGTGGGGCTGGGTGGAGAGGGGAGGGTGGGGAGGGGCTGGGTGGGGAGGGTGGGGAGGGGTTGGGTGGGGAGGGTGGGGAGGGGCTGGGTGGGGAGGGTGGGGCTGGGTGGGGGGTTTGAGGGGTGGGGCTGGCTGGGAAGGGGCTGGTCACCCCGTGGTGCCCTTATAAAACTCAACGTTTAACCTACTCACGCCGGCTTGTGCACGCCCTCACAATCGGGCATATTTGCGGAATACACCACGCCGCCGTTGACCCTGGCCATTGACCGAGCAACCAAACGTTCCTACCAGCTCCCTCCGCAGGAATGTGTTACCTCCCTCTCCTGGAACGCAGGAGGTCGAAAGTTCGATCGCGACCCTGACGCCTGCTGTATATTTGGAGTTTGCGTGTCTCTCTCTATCCCCGTGGTCGCGTGTATTTCTCCCGGGGTCCTCCGGTGTTTCCCTCCACATTAAGAATCAACATCACGCGTTTAGAGTATTTGGCTGCATTACATTACCGCACGATGATAAGCCACGACTTCGTTGAGCTATCATTTGTGGCCAAGTCGCTTCCGATAAAAGAGCTATTTAGCTCAGTGGGCCTTACCTGGTAAAATAAAATAAAAATGTTTACGAGTTTAGATTTAAATACCCCCCCCCCACCCAAACTCAGCGAATCATCCCGAGCAATCTCCCCCATGGCACATGCAAATGAGAGATGCTGCCGCCAATTAAACGCTCCACAATATACAGGCACCTCGCTTCACATACACAAACATCTATCTCTCCTCCAAAGACGAATCCCCCGTGAAGCCAGTAACAAACTGTTGGGTCAGGTGATGCTCGCGAGTAGCGCCTATAAAAGGCTGGCACGGCACACGATGGGGTGGGTGGCCAGCACCACGCTCGACCGCCTTTGTATTTCCCAGTGGCGATGTTTTTACACACCGCACCAGGTACTCATTTAAGGCTGAGTCGACCTAGGGGAGGCCCAGGACCGGTTCAGATATTCGTCACTGGTAGTGGCCGTGAGCAGAATTCGACCTCGGGTCACTGGGTTCGTAGCGCAGCGCGCTAACTACTACACTACCACACACAAAAGACAAAGATCCCCCGTATAGCCCTAAAAGACTGTAGGGCAAGTGCTGTTAGCGAGCACAAATGAAGGCCAGCACGGCACACGAGGGGGTGAGTGGCCAACACCACGCCCGGCCGACTTTGTCTCCCTAATGACGGTGTTTACACATCGCACCAGGTACTCATTTGAGGCTGAGTCGACCTAGGGGAGGCCCAGGACCAGTTCAGATAATCGTCACTGGTGTTGGCCGTGAGCGGGAATCGAACCCGGATCGCCAGGTTCATAGCGCAGCATGATAACCGCTACACCACCGCTTCTCTACACACACACACATCCCTACACACACACACATCCCTACACACACACACCTCCCCACACACACACACACATCCCTACACACACCTCACCACACACACACACACACATCCCTACACACACCTCACCACACACACACACCTC